AAAGGAGGTGAGGTGGTGGGGGCAGAAAGAGGAGACGAAAGCAGACAACAGAACACTGCTAGAGAGCAAGAAATGAGGCGAAAGGAGACAAATTTAGAGAAGAAAATGTTTCGGTCGCTACCCGGATTCGAACCCAGGACCTTTGAATGAGAGGCCAACACCTTAACCCATAGGCCACGAGAGCCCCCCTGAACGGTCTAAACTGTGTTGATGTTGGCGTAAAAACATGTACGAGCCTACACTGAAAAATTAAGATATTTACACACAGCTAGCCGCTTTCAGGTAGGTCACTTCTCTGTTCTTCCTCTCGTTGATTCCTCTACAACGTCATGCTTTGGTTTTCGAGCACAAAGTTGACAAAGTGACCGTTGATGGTGGGTGGTTGGCGGGTGCTCTGGTGTGGTTTGCTTCTTCTTCTTTCCTATCGAACGTCTATCGTCCTTATTTCCCCTTCTTCTTTTTTTATGTTTGTTACTCTCTTGTAACACCTAATCTTCGGCACTTATATGACCTTATTGTATTGCAAGTGCCGTTAAACTCTTACTAAAACGAAAAACAGTTAACATTGCTGGCGTTGGCGGATACTCTGCGGGTTTTTTCGTTTTTTTTGTGTGTTTTTTTGTTTTGTTTTTTTGTTGTGGTGAGCCCCCTTCTTTCTTATCAAATAATCTGTCGTCCTTATCTCATCCATCGTCCTTCTTCATGTAAAATACCTTCTCAAGGACACGAGTCGGGTCACCTGACAGATGGGGTTCAAACCCAAAACTTTGCTCCTTCTGTCCTATGAAACATCCATCGTCTTTATCTCCCCTTCTTCTTTTTTATGTTTGTTACTCTCTTGTAACACCTCTAGTCTTCGGCACTTATATTTATGGCCTTATTGTGTTGCAAGTGCCGCAAAACGCTTACTAAAACTAAAAACCCAAAACGTCCTGGTTGGGAGCTCGACAGCCTTACTACACGGCCACCGAAGCGCCACACTTAGACCTGAGGGACGCTTCCTTTGAATATTTGAATGTCTCTTTTGGATATTTGCTGTATTCTTTCTTTCTCCCCCCCCTCCCCAACCTTTCCACCTCTGCCCCCCTTTTCACCTCTGCTC